CATTTGGAAACCCTCCAAATCTTATAGTAGTGGTTCTCAACCTTCCCAATGCCGTGACCCCTTAATACACTTTCTCATATTGTGGTGACCCCACAATCATAAAATTATTTTTGTTGCTACTTCATAACTGTAATTTTGCTATTGTTATGTAAATACCTGATAAGCAGGATGTATTTTCATTCACTGGACCAAATTTGGCACAAATACCTGCTATGCCCACATTTGAATACTGATGGAGTTGGGGGGGAGGATTGATTTTGTGATTTGGGAGTTGTAGTTTCTGGGATTTATAGTTAACTACTATTCAAAGGGCACTTTCCCCCCTGCCTCAAGGGATGCAAGCCTTCCTCCAGCCTCACACACTCTCCCTTGTCCACACATGCGCACCACACTGCCAGGCCTCGCAAGCGCGCCTGGTGGGGACGAGGGACAGGGCCTTCTCGGTGGTGGCCCCACGACTCTGGAACTCTCTCCCTCTGGAGGCCAGAACCGCCGCATCCATCCTAACATTTAGGAAACGGGTGAAGACGTGGCTGTGGAGTTAGGCCTTCGATGAATGAGACAACACCATAGGACCCTGGATGGAAGTTGAGGTAGATCCATCTTAATAGGACAACTGACCACTGTAGTTTTGTATATAGTGTTTTTAAAGTTGTTTTTGTAATTGTGATATATGATATTTTAATGAGTGTATATGTTTTTATGGCTGGAAACCGGGCTGAGTCCCTCAATGAGGTTGAGAAGCTCGGTATAGAAAACTGTGAAATAAATAAATAAATAAATGCACCAAGCACACCTGCTCTCCCTTCCCTGCTTGGAGTCTCAGAAACAGCCCTCCCCTTGGATGTGAGGCCAACCGAGAGCCTGGGAGGATTCGCCGTCTGTTTCCAAAAAGGAAGAGAAGGACAGGTGGAGAGATCTTCAGCTTTCTCTGCCAATGAGGTTCCTAAGACCATCTGAAATATGTGTTTTCTGATGGTCTTTAGTGACCCTTCTGAAACCCCTCATGACCCCTCCCCCCAGGGGTCCTGACCTCCAGGTTGAGAAACCTTGTCTTATAGGTACAAAGAAAGATCAAGTTTCAGGAATATGGATAATTTACTGAGTTATAAATTATGGAAGATGGTAATGGAACAATTACTGAGACTGCTAACCCTAAAAGCCTTTAACACAATTCATTCATCTGATTGGGAACAGTTACTTTTTTGACTAAGCTCTGTGAATCTTGTGATCTAAACAGCATGGTTGCCTAATGCCAGGGGGCTAACAAAAATGCTTTAAAAAAAAAGTAAGGTAGCTAGAGTTTGAGTAAAGAACCAACTGGATAGTATACATTTCTTTTGACTCTTTAGTGCAGTTTCATAATTAATATTATCAATAGCTTGTTCCTGTAAGTAAATTAATATTGAACATCATTTTTTAAAGTCCTTATTTTGTAAAAAAAAATGTCTAACTCAATTCATAATTTAGTTTCAATAGTTTGTTATTATCAATGGACACACAGAGTTCTCTCAGTTCTTGAGCCCCTCCAGCCAATTAACTTGTCACATTCACTCTGGTCTTTTTTGTAATAGAAATGTATATAATATATATGACACTATTTTTTCTGTAATGAAAATCTATAAATTGATTCTGGCTCCCAGGGCTAGCCCAAGATTATTTGCTACCTGAGATATGGGACATAATATCATTTCCCTGTTCCAAATACAAGCTGGCTGAACTAACAGATGAACCTTATTTCAGATCTGAGACTAATATTCACCAGCATAAATTAGGTATCAGGATATTTAAGAGGTCCAGGACAGATTTTTTTGTCCAGTTGGGATACACAGTTCAGCAATAACCACCAAAAGACTGCCACTGCTGCCATCTGTGGCAATTTTTGCAGTTTTAGAGGCAAGGCCAGCAGATGCTGACTTTTCCAAACATAATCAATGCAGTACAGTGTCATTTTTCATCACTGAACAGAATGCTATGTTCTGAAACCAGCTGCCTTCTGTTCATGTGAAGGAACTCATCTCAATATTACAAAGTCTGAACTTACTGGATGCATATGAAACAATTGAAAAATAAATGCTCTGTGTTCAAGGAGTTTTTTAACAGGCTGTGCAATGTGACAAAAGAGGAAGGAGGATGGAAATAAAGCTTTAAACCACCAGTTAAAAATGTATGAAATGGTTACTAATGTGAAACATCTTTTGTTTGTGGCTATGGTACCATATAGCCCAAGTCAAGGAAGTGCTTCATCCCTCAGATTTAGATCACTGAAAATTAATTTAAACCGTAGATTTAAGTTCCCTCATTCAGCCACATTTTTGTGCAAAGAGAAATGTTTGTAGGGGAGAAATCTGCTTGTGGAAGTTCCCTTTATGCCGTTTAGAAGAACCCTCCCTATGGGAAGGTGATACGGAGGGTAACAGGAACACGTCAGAGCAGTCAGGGCCAAGAAGTTCACTTCCTTGTGCAATTCTAATGCTTGAACAGGAGTTAATTGTAGGACAAAATGATACACTACACACAAAGTTCAGACATATTACCTTTTTGGTCTATGACATGCAGAATTGGGCATGATGACTGAGGAATTGGGGAAGTTGTGGACCAAAACAGTCACTTTCCAAAGGATCAGTGCTGCATGTGCATTTAGAAGGAGTTAAGTAACATTCTCGGTGCATAACCGTAAAATGAAAAAGAAAATATTAGCAACTTCTTAATACTATTTCCCTTATTTGGAGTATCTCCTTTTCTCCCAAAAGCACTTCCATACCTGTCTAAAAATATATATAGATATATACATATGCTACACAGTGTGTTTTTAAATGGAGGGAATAGGCTTTGACTGCTACCTGTGTTTCTTTTTCTGAGTTTTGGTTCGAATTTTAAGAAATTAGTTAGGTTGTGTAATGTGCATAGTTCCATAAAACATTACTGTTTTCTACTTTGTGCTGTTATGGGGTGAAGAAGGATGGAACAGAAATTGAATTTTAAAAGACGAAGTAATCATATATTCTACTTTTTTCTTCTTTTACGTTTTTGCTACCCCCTCCCCCCAAGAAAAAAGATAGAAGACATGCATGGAAAATATTGCAGGGCTGCACATTGGAAATGATGTGTTGGCCCATTGTAAAATTCCATGAATAAAGCAAAGAGCAAAAGCTTGCCTAGAAACATTGAAGACCTAACCAACCAATTTTAATAAACCCCAGCAGTTTGGGGAATATGCATGGAGAAGCAGAAGTGAAGGAATGCTTAATCTTCTCCCTGCCTCCATACCAGGGAACTGCATGGGACTATATCCAATGACTCAAGATTGAGGTATATCATACAGACAATTGAGGCAATGGAACTGTCATAATGATTTGTGGTGACTGAACAAGTGTACAGTTTGAGGATGTAGACTGTGAGAAAGCAGAAGTATCTTTCCATACCCTTGAAATCCAAAGCGTGCACTTTTGCAGTTGTTTCCTCCACTGACTGTTTCTTCTCAGTAGAGCAGTGGTTCTCAGCTTTTGGGTCCCCAGATATTTTGGCCTTCAACTCCCAGAAATCCTAACAACTGGTAAACTGGCTGGGATTTCTGGGAGTCGTAGGCCAAAACAACTGGGGACCTACAGGTTGAGAACCACTGCAGTAGACTAACAAGTGCAGCTAGAACAGGGAATGGTTCCAATGTTATCTCTAACGTTACTAGCATTAGTATCAAAGCAAGTTAGAATGGATCCTTTCCATTTTGTGCGCATATTTTAGCCTTCAGATGATTGTTGTATGAATCCACTTTTATTTCCCTTCTTGAAATGGCTTCAGGGTGCTGCTTAAAAGATGCTAAGGCTATGAAAGCACAGCATACTGCACTGCAGACATATCTGTTGATATTCAAGGTGTTGCAGCCTCATAGACCATGTTTACTTTCTGAAATTTCTATCTAACAATAGTATGAAACCTTCCTAATATGAATGTGGGTCTCTCAGGGCAGCCATGCTCGACCCAACGTGCTCCACATACGGTTGACTACAATTCCCCCCATGGACTGGACCACAATCCCTAACCATATTGATGGTTGAGATGATGGATATTATAATTGAACATGGCTGGAATTAAGAAAGTGTTTTATTGAGGAAGCCTATCCAAGGATTTGAAAATGATGGAGACAAGAATGTTGAGGTTCTTTCCAAAATTGCACTAATTTGACTTGCAAATAGTAAATTCGAATTATTGTTTGTTTCAAACATTAAAATGAACTGTTCCTAAATCCAATGATACTCATGTCTAAAGCAGACCTGGGACCTCGTCACACCAGAGTATGAATCCACTTTAAATTGGTTGCTACCTCCTGCAGAATTCTGGGGTTTGTAGTTTAGGGAGGAGCCTTTAACAGCCTCATTAAACTACAAACCTCAGAATTATGCTGGAGGCAGAAACTGGATTTAAAGTGGATTCATTCTTTAGTGTGATTACATACTAGTTAGAAAGCTTTCAAAAAGTTGATTGAAATTCAATTTATATTTGAAAATTAACATTATAAGATATTGATGTCAGCATAGAGCTTTAATGACCATTTTCAGCTAAGGACTTGCCAATTTTCAACAGGGCCTTAGCTTGCCAGGTGAAGATAATAGGACAATTGGGAAATAAATAAAATTAGTGTTTTATAGAATGACATTTGAAATGTACCCTTGACATTTTGCATACATCAAATGCAAAATTCAGCATCTTTTGATCCTCATCATTCCAAATTTGTGGTTTTCAATTGATAAACTCTGTTTTTGTTGGTGATTGTAGTGGGTGATGAGTGTCATGCCTCAATAGTGAAATGCTGGTGATAAAACCAACATTTCTGTGGTATATGTTTGGATATTAGAATCTTAAAGCTTTGAAATTATTTATAACCCAAGGCAATCATTTTAAGAGAAAAGGAAAAAAATGATCTACAAAAATGGCTTTATGGGAACAGTGCTAGGAAAATGGAGGAAAGACAAAGGGTCAGTACAGCGCTTCTTACTTACTGGCAATGATATATCTCTATCATCCCGGAATTCAGGCAGGGTCTCTAGGCAGAAGATCACAATGGAGATAAGAATGACCATCACAGAGATGACTGCAATGATACGGGCAGCTTGAGAAGTGTCAGGATGTTCAAAAAGCAGCCACACTTCCTTAAGGAACGGTCTTTCTGGCATGGGTCGCTCTTCTTCCTTAATGAAACCCTCATCATCACGAAACTTGGTGAGAGTTTCATCTCCCAGCTGATAAAACTTGAGTTCCTCTAGGAAAACATCAATGGGGATATTTGCTGGCCGCCGAAGCCGTCCTCCAGACTGGTAATAATACAAGATGGAGTCAAAGCAGGGTCGGTTGCGGTCAAAGAAGTACTCGTTGCGCAGGGGGTCATAATAGCGGAGGCGCCGCTGTGGGTCTCCCAGAAGTGTGTTGGGGAACCGGCGCAAGGTTTTCACTTGGGTCTCAAATCGCAGGCCTGAAACATTGATCACAACCCGCTCACAGCAGTCTTTACGATAATGCCCCGTGCAAGGAACAGCAGGCTCGCCATCTTCTGCTGGCACAGTCGGTAGGTTCTCCATGACAGCGCTGGTAGCTAGAGGGATCCTGAGATGAGATAAGGAACCATGATTCAAACTTCACGGGAGTCTTGCTTCTCTCCAGAGAAGGAAATCAGTCCTTGAATCCTCTGGAAAGCTATTCTGTGCTGTACCAATATCAGTTCACTGATGCTGTAAGCTGTATCATAGCTGACATCATCTCTCTTTTCCTGCCCTGCTACCATACTAGCTTCACTTGCCTTTCACTAATTCACTCCCTACTTCAATCATATCTGCCCTAGCTTCTAGCCTTTCTGCCTCCTCCTCCTCTGCTCCTTAGCCCTTCTCTACTTTACACCATCTCTTTTAATTCTTGCCATTAATGTATTTTGCTAAAGCTGGTCTCTCGCTATTGACACCCATGTGCCATCATCCTTACTCTGTCCCCCTCACTACACTGAATGCAAGTCTGCTTTGATGTTTCAATAGGGGGTAAACCCCACAACCTAACTCCCACCCACTATCAACACCAACTGTCCTTCTTTATGTCCCCTTTCTGAGAACACCCCTGCCTTCCAATGCCAGCGTCCAAGGTTTCTGCTGTAAACAGTTTCCCCAGACCTAGAGGTATCAGGTTGCCCCAGGACGGTACAGACTCTTGGCCCCCTTGCCAACATCCCAGCACCACCCCCATCCCCATGCCTAAAAGCAGTCCCAGCAGTACTCTGATCAGAGGAAGGGAGAGCTAAAAATAGCTGGAATTGTGGTGACATAGGGGCAGGCAGAGTGCCTGGGGCAGGCAACGAGTGGAGGTGGGGTAGGCAGGGCACCTTCAGGATGGTAGAAAGAACTGTCAGCAGGAACTCTTTTGCTCTCTAGAAAGAAAGTGGTGCTTGAGCCAGGACACCTGGGTCTCTGAGAAGAGTTACAGGAAGAATGGTGCAGTCTCCGAGTTAGGGCTCAAGGATCATACTGATGCCACAGTATTTGAGGCGCCAGACTTTTTTAACACCTAATTAGTCCTTTCTTAGCTGTCAATATTCACACTCAAAGGTGATCAGGAAAATACACCATACAGACATATGGTCTCCCTATACTAAACAGGGCTTCAAAAAAGTTAAATTTTTGGACTAGTATTTCCCAGAATTGTTCCAGCTGGCATTGCTATTATAGTGGCTAGGGGATTCAGGGAATTATGATTGAAAAGGTAACTTTTGAAAGCTCTTCTGTTAAGATTAAAAATCTAAACTTCTTTAAACTCTTCCTTATGGACTGGAACAGGTGGTAAACAGAATATGCCAGTAAATAAAGGATGCTTTTAACTAACAGTCTGTCTTCATATACGGCAGTGGTTCCCAACCTGTGGGCCGTGAGACTTAAAATAAGGTCAGCGGCTCTAGATGATTAAATATGGTTTTCTGTGGGTGAGCAGATGGTGACTACTGGATCGCATATGTTCTGTATCAGAAACTAGAGCTGATGTGGTCTAGCCAATGCAATTTTTTGAATCAGCACCCCAAACCGCCCTGAGTTCTTCCAGGGAGAGAGGGCAGTCTAGAAATAAAGTTTTATTATTACTATTATTAAATAACCAAACTGAATCTAAGATAACTGATTCGTAACCCTTTTGGTACTAATGTTGGAGAGTGGTCCCTGGTCAAAGTGGTCCCTGGTCAAGTGGTCCCTGGTCAAGAAAAGGTTGGGAATCACTGATATAGAGGATGGATCTCTGTCAGATAGGACATTTTTTTTCTTTAGATAGTTGACCAACTTTCACTTGAAGAACTGATTTAAATGCATTTGTGCCCACAAGTTTTGTTTCATTTGTTTAATTATTATTATTATTATTATTATTATTATTATTATTATTATTATTATTATGGGTGGTTATTGTAGCTGGTATGAACAGTTACGCATGCCATTTAAAAAAACAACAACAAAAAAACAAACCCAAATTGTATTCTACATCTTTGCTATTTATACAGCACATTGATGCATGCTTTAGGAACAAACTGTCGCTTTCCCAGATAGACCTCATCTCTTTCAACAGCCTTACACTACTTTGGAACAAGGGCCTTTATTCCTGTACAGTAAAACTCAGAATTAGGTCACCTGAGACACTGTTTAGCAGCTGCCACAAGGGAGTCATAATTTTCAAATCTTGTTCCATGCACAGAGTCCTTCACTTTGCCAAATATGTGGTAGTCCAACAGTGCTAGATCAGAGCTATAAGGTGGGTGTGGCAACTATGCCTACACAAGTTTTTCAACCTCACACTGGGTTTGCTGATTGACATGTGGCCAGGTGTTGTTGTGCAACAGCAAAACATCTTGTTTCTGCTGGTATGAATGAACACGATTCAGGGGAGCTTGAAGTTTCTTAAGAGTTTCCACATATGTTTCCAAATTAATGGAGATCCCTTTAGGCATGATGTTCACTAGTAGGGCTCCTTCTGAATTCTAGAGACAGCTGTCACAAGTTTTCCTGATGAAGATGTAGCTTTGAATTTCTTTTTCGTGGGAGAATTCATATAATGCCACTCCATTGATTGTCTTTTCATCTCTGGTTCAAAATAGTGTAACCATCTATCATCTCCCATCATGATTCTTGAAAGAAATTTGTTTCCATCATTCTCATACCAGGCCAAGAGTTCACTGCATATATTTTCAGGTTTCCTTGCGTGGATCTGTCAGCTTCCTCGGGACCCAGTTTTCACAGACCTTTAACTGCAACTGTTTATTTACGTATTCTGCACATGCTTGCTTCAACAAAACTCAGTTGGAATGACATTACTTTAATGGTTGCCCATGTATCAGCCTTAACCATGTTGTTCACACCTTCATATTATCAGTTGTTTGTGAAGAGTGTAGCTTTTCACCAGAGAACCTGCTCACACAGCAACTAACAGTACTGTGATCGACAGTGTCATATCCATACACCTTCTTGAGGCTCCCCACTTTCTCATTCTCACAAATCAGGAACTCAGTTACAGCATGTTGCTTCTGAGGATTATTAAGAGCAGCAGCCATCTTGAAGGAGTGCTACAACAATGCCCTGTGTGGGAGAAGGTTGAGTTAAATTTGAATAGAAGCTAGAAAGATTTTTGTTCCCTCAGCAAATAGGAAAAACATAGAATAAAATGTGGATTAAAATTGTGCATTACTTTTGGAGTGATCCTCATATATATACCTTAAAATGTGCTGTGTTGTGGATTTTTTTTTTTTTGCTTCTCAAACAGGTCACTAATCTGACCCTCTTCTTCTAAGGCACTCCTTTCTTTTAGCCTCATTTTTTTTGTTTTTATTTCTTTATTTCTTTAGGGCTTCTTAGTGATTGTGAGCCTGCAAGCAGAGAACTGTTTATTCAGCAGATAAAATGCCTATAACATTTTTTTCTGCTTTTGGTAAGAATACTGGTGCATCCCAAGCCTCTGCTCCTACACTAGTCCAGTTACCAACTTTAAAATGTTTTCTTTAGCACCTCAGTTGGCCTTTCCTGTTGAGATAAGGTCATGGTCATGTTTTGAACCACAGGGAAATTTAAAGAAAAATTATCTTTAAAGGCTCTCCCATTTTGATGCTTTTCAGACTTTTGCCTTTGAGGGACATCATTTCTCATGTGTTAATCCACTCAGACACATCTGTACATCTGTTTATCCATTTTTACCTTTAAAAATCTAGTTCATGCTTGCTGTTTTATTCTACACCCACATAGACGCATGCTAGATCAGGCAGGTCTTCCTTTGCAACAGAAAAATTAGGTACAAAGGACAGTCCTGAATCACAACATTGTCTTTTGGCAAATGACAAGATAGTGCCGTTTTCCTATTCTGTGGGTGGCCATGGCAGCCGCTGGCCAGAATAATAGCTGACTCTTTCTTCAGGATTGAGGATGAGGTAGCATCCTCTCCTTCACCTGTGGCAGAATAATTTCAGGCACCCGGGGCAGGATTGAGCTCCAGTTTTAGTGGGCATCTCTAAGTAAGTGGTGAAAGTGAAAATTCTTGAATTTGGGGTGGGGGTGGATTCAGGTCTAGGTAAGGGGGAAGAGCTGTGTGCAAATGTATAGGCCACATAATAGATTAGTGGCTTGCTTCAATTTGCAAGACTTCATTGATGTGTAAATGCAGCTTGATACAGCTCAGAAAAGTATATGGATTTACATAATCTTCTTTTCTAGCTGTTTGCCCACTTCTCTAAGGAAATCAAAGGCAATAATCCTTTTGTTTCATCTTGATCTAGAAACAATTATATCTCTCTCTCTCTATTATGTGAACTATACATTAGTATGGCATCTACATTTTTTTAAAAAAAAAAACTTTACTTTTCTGTTTTCTCGGCAACCAACTAAATGTATTACTTTGGCTATTAAAAATAATTGGAATGATACAAGCTGCTGGCCATATGATACAAGACACACTTTCCTCTCATCCACTTCAGAATCACCTCATTGTCCACAACAAAGGGAAAGAAAAAAGCATGAAGCATAGCAAAAGCCAACATTGCAAACATGTGATAGTTATTATTTGTTATTTTTCCTGTAGCACCTTAGAGATTAAGGTCCCTTCCACAGTCCCTATATCCAAGATGTGATCCCAGGATATCTGTTTTGAAATTGATTATAGGAGTCCGCACTGCCAGAAAGCCTGGGATAAGCAGATATTCTGGGATCAGATCCTGGGATATTGGGACTGTGTGGAAGGGCCCTAAGAGAACAAAGTTGGTAACATAACCTTTCATAGACTAATTCTACTTCCCCATAATCCTTTGATGCTGATATGAGTTATTTAGCACTATCAGTCTTTAACACTTCACCATTTTGGGTTGTAGGTTTTTCAGGCTGTATTATTTATTTTATTTATTATTTATTATTTATTTTATTTATTTATTTATTCTACCCCGCCCATATCAGTCTAAAGGTGACTCAGGGCGGCGAAGAGTCAGCACAATTCGATGCCACATATAAAAAACATACATCAATAAAAATAAAACCAAGACATTACAATATATCTAAAAACATCAAATCATTGAACAATAAAAAATTAAAACTATGTCATCATGTTCAGTCCTAATCCGTTTCATCGTCTTAGCCATTCCTGGGTCAATGTATGGCCATGTTCTAGAAGCATTCTCTCCTAACGTTTTGCCTGCGTCTGTGACAGGCATCTTCTGAGATTGTGAGGATGCCTTCACCATTTTGCTACTTGCTGTGTACTGTACCTAGTAGATACATTTGTTCTGTCAACACTTACCTGTAAGTATGTGGCGACTGGAGGATTTTGAGGATTCATTGTTTAACTCTGATTTGTTTCTTCGACTGGCTGTTCTTCTCTATCTGAAAATCAAACAGAACAAATAACCCTTGGAATTTTGAAAAGTATGATACTGCTTTGAATATTGTTAATTTCTCATCTTTACCATATCCAAGTAAATTTTCTTTGGATGGCAGCTTCTAAAACATTCACTATCTGACAGTGCCATCTGCTGCTAGGCACTTCAGTTAGCAAATATATGGTATGTGGGCTGTTTTGTACTACTAAAGCTAACTGTAAACTGGGAGTACATCAAATTTGTAAAATTAATGCCATTTGAGACCAATTTAATTGCCATGGCTCAGTGCTATGGAATCATGGCT